GTACAAAAATATAGACATTTGCTCACTATTGACTCTGTTGTGGCTTCCCATGTGTCCGCTGTGCCAGTCATCACTTACAGGGGGGTTCCCTCAGTGGATGATCAGCTAGTACAGGGTAACCAACAAAAGAGATCCATGCAAAACATGGGGGACTTTTCCTTGTGGATCCTGCTCTCACTGTCAGTATATGGATACACGTTGGCATATCCTACTTACCAAAAAAAAAAACGCACATTTTTTTTCCTAGACACTATGTTAATTGTAGGACCGTGGGGATCGTATATTTATTATCTTGTGAATGTGAATATTTCTATTTTGAGAAGACAAAACTACCCTTTTTGCGCAGATTCTATCAGCATATTAGCAGTATAAGTGACCCTGAATTGCCTCTTTCCACATGTACGGTTCCTAGGACTAGACCGAATCCACCCATACCCACGAAGGGGGGATTTTAACAAGACCCTAATACAAAGGGAATTAAGGTGGATATATTCACTAAATGCACCAATCCACCAGGCCTCAACAAGGCCTTCAATTTCAAGCCATTTCTGCCTGGATTTCGTACGGGGGTTGTGAAAAGGAGTTATAATTGCCCAACGGGCCCTTGTGCTACCTTCTTTCCCAATCTATTTTGTTTGGCTTTCGCACTGGGGGCATTTAAGGGACACATGCTTATCTACTGTAGGCATTATGTTATATATCCATTTTGATCTCTATATTCCATTTTTCAAATGTTTTTGCTTTTCTTTTCCTGTAATGTTCTAGCATTTTAATGTATGAACATTATGTGTAATGCTTGTACCACTATGTTACTTTATGTCCTATTTTTGGATGCCTCCATTGATGATCCCCTTCTTGGGGGGGTTGGTTTGGGACGTCAGGAGCATGCTGTCCGCCACCCTGCATGCCTGAGGACCCCCTGATGTCTTTTTTTTGTCCCGGGGGGCCCCCCTGTTTTTGTCGGCCTCTTGCTCAGGTGGTAGTTCCATCTTTTTTCCCTGAGGGGGTCTGATTGGCCTTTGGGCTTCCTCTGGGTGTCACCCTGGGTTTGTGGCCGGCTGGGTACGCAGGCAGCCCTTCGTTAGCACGGCGCCACCCATGTGCGTGACGTCATTGCGTTTTATGTGACATTGATGTGCAGGTGGGCAGGTGGCACCATGTGAGTGTGGGGCCGGGGGGCCGGACATAGCGGCCATGTGGATCCCTCTGCCATTACCTGGGGGCAATATGGAATAAACCAAACAAAACTTTTAGGCACCAATTAGGGCACAATTTCCATTGGCGCTTTATCATTTGATTACCATTATTTATAGCAGCTTTGGGGCACCTGCAGTCTCTCTGGACTATCCTGAGATAGCTGCATGTATCGCATACAGAAGCCATATTGGTGAGTTTTTGCTATGGTTTGATATTATTACTTTTCCCCCAGGTTGCTTGTTCTCTTTTTTGGTGGGGTTGGCTCCATTCATGTTGTATGTGTGTGGACCTATGGATATATATTCATTGACATGTTTACCCGCTGGGTGGCTTTGGGGTGCTATCTTATTATATATAAAATAATAAACAGCGCAAAAAAGAATATGAATAAAATCAAATACATAAATAAAGTCCATAATCTTAAATGTTTCTTGCTTGAGTGCTCCAATAAATAAACACATGCTCAAAAGAATAGAAGGTTAAAAAATAAATATCCTGTGCCTTGAGAGAAGAATGATTTCACCACGTAGTGCTCAGTGGACCCTCCCCTATGCTCTCCACACTCCCCAGATATGATGGACTCCTAGATTTGTGGGTTTAAGAGTCAAAAACGCTTATTTCTGGTGGAATGTGCTCACAGATATATTCAGGATTCAATAGAGTGCCAGACTCATGGTAATGAAGTGTAGGTGCAATCCATCAATATACTCCATAATTCATTGTGCGTGTAATAGAGGGAGCAGAAAGGACACTAAGAGTGTAATACTGTTGAGCTATTAATTTAGCTAAAACAGCAATACATATTACAATCACATTTAATCAATAATACAAAAGCCTTGTGAATATATTCCTTACATTGTATCAAAGGTATACAGCAGTAACAAGATGGGTTCGGAGTGCCTCTGAATCGCTTGTGTTTCACTCACCAGACGTGACGTCACACAGAACCACCGGAACCGGAAGTTGCGTCAATGCGTTTCGCCCCTCCTACAGGGCGTCCTCACAGACGTCTGGTCACATTCGGTGAGTGGAGCGCACGCGAACCAGTGGTGCTCCGGAGCCATCTTGTTACTGCTTTATACCTTTGAAGCAATGCAAGGAATATATTCACAAGGCTTTTGTATTATGGATTAAATGTGATTGTAATATGTATTGCTGCTTTTAGTGAAATAAATAGCTCAACAGTATTACACTATTAGTGTCCTTTCTGCTTCAATCTATTACACACACGATGAATTATGGAATATATTGATGGATTGCACCTACGCTTCATTACCATGAGTCTGGCACTCTATAGAATCCTGGATATACAGTATCTCACAGAAGTGAGTACACCCCTCACATTTTTGTAAATATTTTATTCTACCTTTTCATGTGACAATACTGAAGAAATTACATTTTGCTACAATATGACATGGTGAGTGTACAGCTTGTATAACAGTGTAAATTTACTGTCCGCTCAAAATAACTCAACACACAGCCATTAATGTCTAAACCGCTAGCAACAAAAGTGAGTACACCCCTAAGTGAAAATGTTCAAATTGGGCCCAATTAGCCATTTTACCTCCCCGGTGTCATGTGAACGGGGAGCAGGTGTGTTAAATTTGGTGTAATTGCTCTCTCTCATACTGGTCACTGGAAGTTCAACATGGCACCTCATGACAAAGAACTCTCTGAGGATCTGAAAAAAAGAATTATTACTCCACATAAAGATGGCCTAGGCTCAGGGGCGGACTGACCATTTGGAAACTTGGGCACTGCCCGAGGGCCCGGGGTCAGTAGGGGGCCTCATGAGATGCTCCTGGTACCTTTTTTATAGGCTTTTTTGAGTTTGGGCAAGGACACAGGGGCCCCATGATCCCCTACTGCCCGGGGGACCCATGAGTTGTCAGTCCGCCCCTGCCTAGGCTATAAGAAGATTGCCAAGACCCTGAAACTGAGCTGCAGCACGGTGGCGAAGACCATGCAGTGGTTTAACAGGACAGGTTCCATTCGGAACAGGCCTCTCCATTGTCGACCAAAGAGGTGGAGTGCACGTGCTCAGCGTCATATCCAGAGGTTGTCTTTGGGAAATAGACATATGAGTGCCATTGAGTTAGAGGTTGAAGGGTTGGGGGGTCAGCCTGTCAGTGCTCACACCATACGCCGCACACTGCATCAAATTGGTCTGCATGGCTGTCATACCAGAAGGAAGCCTCTTCTAAAGATGATGCACAAGAAAGCCCGCAAACAGTTTGCTGAAGACAAGCAGACTAAGGACATGGATTACTGGAACCATGTCCTGTGGTCTGATGAGACCAAGATGTCAAGCGTGTGTGGCGGCAACCAGGTGAGGAGTACAAAGACAAGTGTGTCTTGCCTACAGTCAAGCATGGTGGTGGGAGTGTCATGGTCTGGGGCTGCATGAGTGCTTCCGGCACTCGGGAGCTACAGTTCATTGAGGGAATCATGAATGCCAACATGTTCTGTGGCATACTGAAGCAGAGCATGATTCCCTCCCTCCGGAGACTGGGCCACAGGGCAGTATTCCAACATGATAACGACCCCAAACACACCTCCAAGATGACCACTGCCCTACTAAAGAAGCTGAGGGTAAAGGTGATGGACTGGCCAAGCATGTCTCCAGACCTAAACCCTATTGAGCATCTGTGGGGCATCCTCAAATGGAAGGTGGAGGAGCGCAAGGTCTCTAACATCCACCAGCTCCGTGATGTCATCATGGAGGAATGGAAGAGGACTCCAGTTGCAACATATGAAGCTCTGGTGAACTCCATGCCCAGGAGGGTTAAGGCAGTGCTGGAAAATAATGGTGGCCACACAAAATATTGACACTTTGGGCCCAATGTGAACATTTTCACTTAGGGGTGTACTCACTTTTGTTGCCAGTGGTTTAGACATTAATGGCTGTGTGTTGAGTTATTTTGAGGAGACAGCAAATTTACACTGTTATACAAGCTGTACACTCACTACGTCACATTGTAGCAAGGTGTCATTTCTTCAGTGTTGTCACATGAAAAGATAGCATAAAATATTTACAAAAATGTGAGGGGTGTACTCACTTCTGTGAGATACTGCATCTGTGAGCACATTCCACCAGAAATAAGCGTTTTTGACTCTTAAGCCCACATAGCTAGGAGTCCATCATATCTGATGAGTGTGAAGAGCATAGGGGAGGATCCACTGAGCACTACGTGGTGAAATCATTTATGTCTCAAGGCACAGGATATCTATTTTTTGGACCTTCTTTTCTTTTGAGCATGTGTTTATTGGAGCACTCAAGCAAGAAACATTTAAGATTATTTATGTATTTGATTTTATTATTATTCTTTTTTGCACTGTTTATTATTATATATTATGTGTTAGTGTTATTGCACTTTCTGAACAGCAGCATTGTTTAGCAGATTCAGATTAAAAAATGTACATTCTATTTCGGCCAAACGTGCTATAGCTCAAGCTTGGAGAACCCCTTTGGTTGTCTTCCAGGGGGTGAAGACCCGGATGAATGCTATGTTAGTGAATGAACAGATGTCTAGTATTCTTCATGATTCTCATCCAAGATTCCTTAACCTCCTTGGCGGTATGATTCCTTCTGATTTTTTGTGCTGAAAGCGGTACCATTTTTTCGCATGGAAATAGTTTTTTATTGTAGGCTGTAATTTTTAGGAAAATTTCCCCACAAATCATTATCACTCAATTCTGTAAGTGGTTCTGATTTACTATCGCTGTTCTCTAGCCGGTCTAAAAACCGCTTTTGACGTAACGGGACGCTTTTTGGACGCCATGGACTTTTCTAAGTTTCCAGGCAGAAAGAACAGACAAAATGCAGGCAGGGCACAGGGCAAAGCACTAGGGACAATATGTATGTGAAATGGGATGAAACAGTAATGTTTTACTATTTAAAATTGAAAAAAAAAAAAATGATATTTTTTAAATTTCCCGCCGCCGGCGGCGCCCGTACGTCCCGACGTCACGGGGACTGGAACACAGAAGCCGGATGCCGGCATCGGCCGGAGGAGATGGCCGGGGACGCTGCAGGGGACACATCGTGGGAACGAAGGACAAGGTAAGTGCTGCAGGGACCCCCAGAGCAGCGCCGCATGGTAAGTCCGAGTGTAGCTCGGGGTTACCGCTTGTGGTATATAAATTCTACCCCGAGCTACACTCGGGAAAACCGCCAGGGAGGTTAAAGTTTAGGAACCTTAGATACGTTATTCCTTGCCATCCCTGCCTCCTATTAGTTATGGCCTCTTATAGTCGCAGCCTGTGCTAGCCCTGGATCCGTGATTCTTCTAGTTTTCCTTTCCTTCATGTTTTCTTTCTGATTCTTCTTTTCCTTTTTTTTTTTCTTCTCTTATCTTCTTCTTTCTTCCTCTTTTTTTTTCTGGTAATATGATGGATTGCTGCTGCTATTATTTGGTTCGGCTTTTGCCGTCCCTCCTTGATGTCATTGGACATTCCGTTATTTGACTAATACAAGTCAGCAGGATGTATCTAATTATGTATTATTGTTCTGCTCTGCCCCTGCGTGGGCATATCTTGAGCCAGTTGTATTCTTAAAACAAATCTTTCTTAATAATATAAATATTGAAACAGAAAAAATGTATATTCATATTTTTTCTACATATTGTTTCAACACATAAGAGTGCGGGTGATTTGTTGTTTCTTTTTACAGATTATACTGATCGCCTTTACTACATTTGTTAGATTCCTCTATTGGCTGCTACCATGTGGTCCTTGCTGGTGGATGGTTCGCTGGGGCACCCCTTCCTGCCTTCCCCTTGAGGTGTAATTCGGAGAGCATCCTCTTTAATTTACTATCGATACTGGTTGTATATCATCTGATATAGTGCAATCTGTAAGTGTTTGAGCAACCAGCTTCTTTACATGTATTTCTGAATTAGACTACACATTACAATATTTATACCCATTCTATATGATGTTATGTTATAGACCTGACCTATGTAATCCCTGAAGAAAACAAAAGTTCCGAAATGCGTTGGATCAGTCTGAACTACATCACCGTGCAAGTTTATTTTGGGCTGCTAACACATCAGCCAGTTGATGCATCAAACTGTCAAGTCCTATGCACGTTGTGTATGCTCTGTATGCTATACATGTATTTCTGTATTACAAGTTACTGTACTAAATCCTTTTGATACGTTTTAACTTTTTGCAATAAATACCTTCTGTTATATATATTTTTTGTAACTTGATTTAGGTTCTTGCCATTTAAAGTCCCTGTTCTGTATTTTCTTGAGATGTCAATCACTGGGCTCTGGCCGGAGATTCCTTGCCAGCACCCGGCAATCGCTGAGTATCACCGCCAGGGGAGAGGTCTGTATGTAAACAATATAGATCTCTCCCGTCAGCTCCTGCACACTGCTTTGTATGGATCTGCGTAGCACAGCCATACAAAACTGCATGCCTCCCTAGTAAAACACATCACACAGTTAACCCTTTGATTGCCCCTCATGTTAACACCTTCCTGCCCAGTGCCATTAGTACAGTGTCAGTGCTTTTTATTAGCACTGATCACTGTATTAGTGTCAGTGGGGATGTCAGTGACACCAAGTCAGTTCCCCCCCCCCCCCCGTGTCAGAATGTCTGCCGCAGTCCCACTATAAGTCACTGATCACCACCATTACTAGTAAAAAAAAAAAATTCCAGTATCTATACCGCCATTTGTAAACACTATAACTTTCATGTAAACCAATTAATTTACACGTATTGGGATTTTGTTTAGCAAAGACATATTGCAGAATACATTTTGGCCTAAATTTATGAAGAAATTTGATTTTTACATTTTTTACTAGACATGTTTTATAGCAAAAAGTAAAAAATATTGTTTTCTTCTCAAAAGTGTCAGTCTTTGTTTATAGTGCAAAAAAAATGCACAGGTGATCAAACACCACCAAAAGAAAGCTGAATTTGTAGGTAAAAGAGGGATATAAATGTCATTTGGGTTTAGTGTTGCATGACCCGCGCAATCATCAAAGTAATGCAGCGCCGTATTGCAAAAAAAATGGCCTGGTCAGGAAATGGGTAAAAATGACATTAACATGCTATGGAATAGTCCAGCATGTGACGAGTGGGTTATTTCTTTGATGTCACACAGGGAGTAGTTGTGACGCAGATATGAGCTGTTCCAGCCGATGACACAGCACTGTACAAAGTGGGTTATCCCTGAGGAGGCCATGCTGAACCGCGCTCTCCTCAGCACACTGTACAGCTCAGTGATGTCACCTCTCCCCTCACACTCTCTACCCCATGGAACAGCTGTGCGCAGCACTAACAACTTCAGGGTCACGCGGCCCCCTAGCCCGCCCCCTCTATACACTTTTCTGATTGGCCATGGCGGGAACCTCCCTCCAATAGGAATAATTCCAGCGGATCTGTCAGCAGTTACTGGTAGATCGCTAAAGGCTGACTGAGGAGACAACAACCGCACCACCCCCCATTGGCTCATTTCCGTCACGTGTTCCGACCTCTCTACTTCTAGAACTTGTTTGTTGCTCCCCTATAAATTAATGCAGTACAGTCAGTGTAAGAAATTGTAATGTACAAATAAAGGTGTGCTAGAGCACGGCCAATGAGGGACCTAGGTCACTTCTTTTGACACATTGTCCTCCTAAAACATATTCTTGTTTATCTGGCTTCAAAAAAATGTCCGCCGCCCCGCATAGACAGCGACACATTGGAGGAGGCTGAACTGTATAACTGAGGTACAACGCAGCGAGCGATTCTATGAGGAGAAGAGCAGGCGCGCACCGTGCGTTGCAGGCCGGGAGTCCAAGGAGAGAGTGCGCGCGCACCCAATGGTTTGGGCTGACGGATGGGGGGCGTGGTGGTGAGGACGGTGTGCAGCATTACACCAGGCAGGTGGCGCTGCTGAGCGAGCGGAGGCTGTAGAGTGGACGGGCTGTGTAGTCGTCCATGCAGAGCGGAGCAGAGGCTGCAGACATAACAGTCACCCGGGGGGATTCAATGTGCAACAGGCGCCGGAGGAGGGAAGACAAGGAGCCCACCCGGCATCGTCCTCCTCCCCTGGGGGAAGCCGGGAGCGCACACCTCCCTGGGGGAAGAGCCGAGGTGAGGAGCTGGGCACAGGCTGGGGCTGTCACACACTGGCCGTGCTGTCATGTCTTCCTGGCATGGAGCCCGCTGTCACTGCTGTGTGTGGGGGGAATGGTGCTCTCGGGTGCCGGGAGAGGTGTCATGGCTCTACCCCCCACCCCTAGTGTGAGTGCACCTGGCTGAGGAATGGGGCGAGCACTGCATACCCAACATGTGACTGGAGGAGGGGGGATGAGGGGACAGTCATGGCAGGCTGGTCACACAGTATGGGCAGAAGTGTCATCTCCATGACTGCGGGGAGTCAGAGGCTGCTGCAGCCTGTGTGGTCAGGAGGGGGCGCTGTCATGGCAAGTGTTGTTGGAAGGTTTATTCATGACAGTGTTCTTGAATGTGCAGAGTATGGGAGGTCAGAACAAGCATGGCCAGGAGGGGGCAGCGCTGTCGGAACGGGCATGGCCAGGAGGGGGGCAGCGTTGTCGGAACGGGCAGGGCCAGGAGGGGGCAGCGCTGTCGGAACAGGCAGGGCCAGGAGGGGGCAACGTTGTCGGAACGGGCAGGGCCAGGAGGGGGCAGCGCTGTTGGAACAGGCAGGGCCAGGAGGGGGCAATGTTGTCGGAACGGGCAGGGCCAGGAGGGGGCAACGTTGTCGGAACGGGGGCAGGGGGGCAAGATGGAACGGGGGGCAGCGCTGAGAGGGGTCAGCGCTGTCGGAACGGGCAGGGCCAGATGAGGGGGGGGCAGCGCTGTCGGAACGGGCAGGGCCAGGTGAGGGGGCAGCGCTGTCGGAACGGGCACGGCCAGGTGGGGGGACAGCGCTGTCGGAACGGGCAGGGCCAGGTGGGGGGACAGCGCTGTCGGAACGGGCAGGGCCAGGTGGGGGGTAGCGCTGTCGGGACGGGCACGGCCAGGTGGGGGGGCAGCGCTTTCGGGACGGGCATGGCCAGTAGGGGGCAGTGCTTTCGGGTCGAGCATAACTGGCAATGACAGCGCTGTCAGGACAAGTGTGCTGTCCTCTGCCAGCTATGTTTATCCTGACAGCACTGCCGCCTCCCAGCTACACTCACCCTGACAGTGCTGCCTCCTCCTGGCCATGCTCGTCCTGACAGTGCATCCCCTCCCTGGCCATGGTTGCACTAATGCACTCACAGTGCTGTCTGTTTCCTGCCACACTCACCCTAACTGGCATCATGGCTGGCAGGGGGTAGTGCTCTCAACCAGGCTCATCCTAACAGCACTGCCCCCTCCAGGCCATAAATGTTGTGACAACACTGCCTCCCAGCCATGACTATTATGCTGAGTGTAGAAGGGGGCAGCACTGTTGCAACATTTATGGTCTGGAGGGGGTAGTGCTGTCAGGGTGAGCATGGCTGCCAGGGGGCAATGCTGTGAGAATGGGCTTGGCTGGGAGGAGGTAGCACTGATGGGCATGACTGGAACAGGGCAGTGCTGTCAGGCTGAGCATAGCAGTCAGGGGGCAGTGCTGTCAGGATGAGTGTGGTTGACAGCGCTGCCACCTGCCAGCCATACTTGTCCTGACAGCACTGCCCACTTCCAGCTGTGCCCGTTAGCGCTACATTCTCATAGCACTGCCCCCTCTCAGCCATGCTCATCCTGACAGTGCTGCCCCCTGCCAGCCATTCTGCCAGTCAGGGCAAGTGTGACTTGGAAGTGACAACGTTGTGAGGGCAAACAAGGACAGGAGGAGGCAGCACTATCAGGGCAAGTGTGGCTGGGAGGGGGCAGTTGTGTCAGAGTAAGCACTGCCAGGTGGGGGCAGCACAGTGAGGGAAATGTATGGCTGGGAGGGGGCAGTGGTGTCAGAGTAAGCACTGCCAGGTGGGGGCAGCACAGTGAGGGAAATGTATGGCTGGGAGGGGGCAGTGGTGTCAGAGTAAGCACTGCCAGGTGGGGGCAGCACAGTGAGGGAAATGTATGGCTGGGAGGGGGCAGTGGTGTCAGAGTAAGCACTGTCAGTGGGGGCAGCACAGTGAGGTAATGTATGGCTGGCAGGGGGCAGTAGTGTCAGAGTAAGCACTACCAGGTGGGGGCAGCACAGTGAGGAAATGTATGG